ACTCTCGTTCCGTTATTCACGTAATTGATCAGCGGACCTTACTAGCTTGATTAAATCAATGCTATTTCCGTTACAGCCTAAGTGAGCCGTTTAGTGGAATGTCCGGTCGAATAATCAATTATTTCAGACAATAGAAATTAATTGGATATTTATAATAAAGGATTGCGGGAGAATATTACTAAGATCAGTAATATTTTATTTATTTCACAACATGAAGATTTGGTGATGGAATATGAGCTACTTATATATCTTCGTGCGTTGCGAAAAAAAGGTAACGCTCTTTTAGCTAATTCCAATTATAGTATTTTGTGCTGTTGCGATTATTTCTAATTATAATAATTTGTGCTGTTGCCCGTTGCGGATTGGGTATCGTGTTGTGGATAAATCAAAAGGTTATGAGCAAATCGAATTTTCACTGTCACCCTTATATATTAGCGTAGGCTGTTTGCATTTTTGAGGAGTTTTCTTTTATTCTAATGAACGGAAATCGTGTACAAGGGCTCAAAATATTAACCAAAAATATATACAGAAGAAAGGATGGAACTAACAGAGAAACTAGTATCAAAATATTTAAACGTCATAGAAAGACAACAAATGGAAAATACTAAAACTCTGGCAATCCAAGTAGTAGATATTAAATTTTACTAACTGTAATCACTACATTTTATCATCTCCTGTAAATTATTCAGCAAGCTGAATTATGTCCATCGGGAGAAGAAGGAATAAAGTATATATAAAAAATTGTTCTTTTATATTCAAACTATAAAGTACTTTTAATAAACAGTAAAAACTACACACTCTCTCAATTTCTCTGATTATGATAATACCAGAACCCACTGATAAACTCTAGACACGAGGGGAAACATTGTCCAACCACTATGATATCATACTTCAACCTTCTTTCCGTAATTCTGTTGAAATCGATTGATATCTCTCAACAGTTCCTCGCATAGATCCAAAATACCAGCATCTTTTCCTTCACTACCAGACCCATTGAGCATACCAACTATCGCTCCGGGCGACTCATTAGACGGTGTAACAGCATCACCGCCTGGTTCCGAAGAACTAATTGATTCAGGCGATGTGGCATGTTCGCTTGGCGATGGAGTTGCCAGTACGGAGGTCAGTGAAGATGAAATACTCGATGTGCTTATTGTTGATGCTGATGATAGCGCAGACGATGACGTCATTTGTACCATACTGTCCTTGCCAGAGCTAATAGAATTTATCAAGTTTACAGTGGAGGTTTTCTTAATTGACCTCTTTGGGCGCGAATTATCATCTTCATCTTCGCTAGGGGATAATGTACCATTTCGCCGAGCTTGATCTAGTTCAACCAGAGTTATCCACAACGCCATTTTCTTAGCCCTGTCAAGCATTTGGGAAACTGACAACGTATCCGAAGAAGATTTGTGAGCAGAACGTTTCTTATTCTTCTTGTTGTCTGTATGTGAGAGGGTTAAAGCAGGTTTAGAATATTTCAGTACAAGAAATGCAAATCTATCGAATTAACAGAGACAGTTAATCGACACTCAAAAATATACGGCTTAGTACACATACCTTTGCGTTCTTGATACTCCTCTTCATGGTGGTGCGCTTCTATGAAAGGCCTATCTAGGTTCTTCTCAAAGACGTGATGAGGCTTTTCCGTACTCTTTTCTCCATTCTTGCTGGTATCATTATGCATTTTGTACGCTGACTTCTCTCCATTCTTGTTATTTTGTGGTCTATCATTAATCTTCTCATATGCTTCTTCATTATCTTGCTCTCTTTCTCCGTCGTTCTCCTTATTCATGTCTCTTTCTTTCAGCTCTTCCATTTCTTCATCATTCATCTCTTCCGTTTTCTCGTGCCCTTTATCCTCATTCTGACTTTCTTCTAATTCAATGTCATCGATTTCCATCGAATCTTCAATTTCCGATAGGCTGTCACCTTCAGACGAGGTCGTTTGCCGAGATTTCTTCTTTACATGACCCTTACGGTTGCTCTTACCCACATTTGATGTCACTTTATCTTCATCACTTAGCGAGCTTAGTGATGGCTTACGTTTCGGTTTATGAGTAGGACTTGAGGGGTTTGACGTTTTGGAATGTGAGGACTTTGTGTGTGAGGCTTTAGATGTATTGCTTGGACGTCGCTGTGGAAGGTTGAAACGGGACGAGTTAGACGAAGCTTCTTCAAACTTTTTTGGACGATGGTTTGAGCGTCGTTTCGTGCCCTTGTCGTCTTCTGTGTTATGGGAAGCATGTTTGGTTTTGGATTTCTTATGGCTTGTACTCTCGAGAAACTCGACGTTGCTGTTTTATCCAAAGTATAATTAAGTTGGTAGCATAAGTAATTAAGAAAGTGAAAACTGGTGCGGAATTGAAAGGCCTGTAAGTGGGTGAGAGGTATGTATACTCACGTTCGAAAGCCCATTTGTATATATGGATGTTTGGCAGGAGAGCAACGTTCGCAATGGTATTCTTCCAAGCGCTCTGTGAAGCCAACACACTCAGTATGTTGCCAGACAAGACACTTGTCGCATTGCACCATTGCTTGGTCGTCATTTGCTATGGAGGTGGGAAAGGTAGGTAAGAATGCGTAAGAGAAAATGCATATGGTGAGTGGAATATGGCTCGTATTTAAGAGGAGAAAGCGAGCAGGGAAAGCAACGCTTAAGTGTTAGTTGGATATGATATTTCTAGTGGGTTGTTCTTCTTACTTTTCTCTTTATCCTTCTCTCCTCTGCAGCCTGCATTCCATTCTTTTCTCTGTTACTTACTAGTTACTCCGCAGACACAACGTACTTGGTCCTCTGGTTGGTCCATACGGGTTGTTTTCATGTTATGTGTGTTGGAAATATGGTGTTTATATTATAGGTAAAGTTGTGAGATGTAGACGGTGGCCAGAATGAGTATTGTAAGTAGAGAGTGACTGTCGATCCGGTGCTAATGCGTAGGTATGGCTTATTTAATGAAGATATTTGGTAATTCCTCGTTGGAAATGAAATTGTTCGGGGAGAGAGGGGTGATGATAGTTTGTGAAAGCGGGACTTTTTTTTCATCACCACGACCAAGCCCATATTTAATATTAGTGCAACAAAACTAGACAAAGTGAACATTTGGGAACGCCACAAACGAAATTGAGGGGTCAAAGCGCCACAGACACCCTATATAGATTTCAGGCATAACGTTAATGCGTTAATTCGGTCTGATAGTAGTAATAAATGTCCCGAATCCGGCTGAAGCTGAAACTATGACCTTTCATTGGTTGATCGGATTTTATTCTCTAACCCCATTGGTTAGTTTCAGCTCCCACAATAAATAACACTGCTTTCTTAGTAGATACATATTATTATATATAATCAACAAAGGATGAGAAATTTATTCAGTTGTCGCTTAATGTCCTAAACCTACTCTTTACCTTTCGCTTTCAACAAGAGAATTTTCAGTAATTTGTTATTCGTTCTATTCAGCTTAAGCTGGATTGATGGTAGTTTAGCAGAATAACGTAGGTTGGCTTTTCCCAACCATCAATATTCGCCAGCTACGTATTAGTGTCTACTTTGTGGATAGTAAATATCTCCTAATACATAGTCAACCTCGTTAATCCGAAGCCAACGGGACCGAGGCTTAAGTTCGGATTAACGCCATCTTCGGATTA